AAGACAAATTTCTCTTTGTTGGTTTTCTTTTATTCGGTCAAATTTCCACCACATATCTCAAATAGTTTTTGGTAGTTGAGTTCTGGTCACAGATCTACAGTGAGCGCGGTGTGGTTGTCCTCAGCAGAACAAATGCACAGTCAGCAGTCATACCTTTTATCAGTTGGACTAGAGAAACTTAATGTGTTTCTCTCCACTACTGTTGTGGATTGTGCTCAAGCAAATTAAATACTGTGTCTTGATCTAAACTCCAAAGACGTGCGTCAAGATCACTAAAATTACAGAGTGGTAATCCTGTTAAGATGTTGGCCTAATCCTGCAAAACTCTAATGGAGTTTGTCAACTGTGTATAGGATTGTGTGTGTGTGTGTGTGTGTGTGTGTTGTATAGACCTATTTGTGATTAGTTCTCTCTAGTTTTTGCCAGAGTAAGAAGGAGCGCAGATGGAAAACAATATCAGCCAGAAGTTCTTATCGCGATAGTTTCATTCAGTGTTTTTTTCATTGTGCTGCTGAAAATCATGTCCAAGAAGCAAAGGTAAGTGAGCATTATCTGTTGTTTCCTTTTATGCTATGTTTGGTCTGAAATTAGATGGATTAGTCTAAATATAAATGTAAACAGATTCAGACATTGCTGTGATCAACATCTTAATTAAAGTACGGGATTAACATCATAATGAGAAGGAACAGTGAGCATATTCATTTGTGTATTTACTATTTACGTGGTACCTTCTGTGTCTACATGTGATCAGTTTCCTGGCAATGAATTCTCACTTTCTTGATGTGAGAGAGATGGATGTGTTATAGATTAAAACATTTTTTAATCCTTGCTCTATAGCCTCTACATTACACCCACACTGCTGCCAAACCATGTAATGTTTCCTGGCACAGTCCTGCTAACGCTAGGCGCTAATTTACTACGTGTAAAATGCTCCTCCATCTCCTCTGAAGTAATCACAGTGTCACATAAGCAGCTAAGCAGACCATTCGTTGCAGCAGTTATTTGACCACCAGTACTTTTTAGAGGCTAATACGGGAAAGGGCTTGTTGCATTGTCACACTGTAGAACTTTAAGATGAATGCTTGTCCTTTGTAAAGTAATAATGTCGGCTATCTTGAACTGCACTTAATTGTGTCATTATAGCAGCTACAGGGTCTGTTAGGCCTACAGAAGAAAGGTTGTGTGTCCATGAGAAAAATAACTGCACAGATTATCCCTATAAACCATATCACAGACGTGTTTTCCAGCTACATACTATTTTTATCAACTTGGGTTACATCCTCAAGTTGTTCAGTTGCTGCTTTACAAGTAAACATTTTGTTTGCATTTTATGACACTAAAATTATCAGCACATGTAAGCTTTCATCCTTAAAAAGAAATATTGTCAACCCCAAATAATTGTTTTATTCTTACGTACAGCACGTGGCCTCAGACCCTGA